GGGGGGGGGGGAGGACTTAGTTCTAGGTGGTAAATGACATCCGTGTTAGAAAACAAAAATTCTAGGTGACTATTTTGATTGGGATGGGGCTTTAGAGAAAAAGGGGTTTGGGGAGGAGAGGTTGGTATGGGTTTAACGGCTGTGTTCAGAGGGTTTATGGTTCCTTATTTGCACTCATGTGGACAGAGCTCTTCAGTATCCACTTTTGACCTGTCAGTCTTCCAATCTTTTGTTTAGGTTATACAGTAAATACATTTGGGGGTGGACAAAACAGCAAAAACGAGCTGCAGATTCACACTCTGGCTCTGGTGATCAATGCAATTATTCTCTCAGTTTTGGTTGCCTCCTTTTATTTTGTCCAAATGGCCTCACTTCCAAAGTTCTAAGTTCATTTTGAGCAGAATTGCACTATAGACTTGAGACACTTTCAGCCATGGTCACCCAGCTGCAGTTATCCAAGTGAGATTCTGGAAGAGTGAGATAACTCATTTTGGGGGCATGGCCATAGAGAGGGGTGGGGACAGGCACTGTACTAGGTGGTTTGAGTTGCTCCTGTAATCCTCAGGCACTCTCATCACCCTCTACACGTAAGGTATTCCAAAGCTTTTTTATAGATGAGCCTATGGAGGTGGTCATATCAACTACTTTCAGGGCCAAATTAGCACAAGTGATGGGTTGGGGGCCGGGTGTTTGCAAACTGCCTGGACACTGCTGGCATTGGGCTGTTCACATCTGGCTCTAAGCAGTGTTTCTACCCGTTTTAACCAGCACCTTCTTTGTCCTTTTTCCGGGCAACTGCAAGAGAATAGCACTGTAAAGTAACAGGAACTGTAATGCGGAAAGGGGAAGATACAAACTACAGCCTCGAGCTGGGGCGAGGAGGGAACTTCCGCAGGGGTTCTCCCTGCCCAGCAGTTAGGTCTCCTGCACCCCTCCTCTGGTCTGAGAGAATTCCAGCCTCCTTCCTGCCAAAACAGTCTGGAAATACCTACTCCAAAGTCAGACAAAATTAAAATTCCATGTTATATCTTTCAATAAATTACTCCCTGGGGAAATAAAACATTTTAGGGATAGCAATTTACAGGAAGCCCTTCTTGAAAGCTTGTAAAGGAAAAGGAGTATAGTAAGATTCCATTGGTAACTGGGCCACTTCTCAAAGGCCTGTTCTATACACAAGATAGGTAATGTATAATTTAGTGTATGACAACAGACTATACTAAGTGCAGTATAGGGAATATATCCTTTAGCTTGAAGCCATTCAAGTTATGGTTCTTCAACCTAGTGGCATTATTAAAATCATTTGGGCCCTAGCCAATGTGCTCAGTGGTTAGAGCATTAGCCCTCAGAGGGGAGGGTCCTGGGTTCAATTCCGGCCAAGGGTACATACCTCTGTTGCAGGCTCCATCCCAGCCCTGGTTCAGGCACTTGCAGGAGGCAACCTGTTGACGTGCTTCTCTCACATCGATGTTTCTCTCTCCCTTCCACTCTCTATGAAAAGCAATGGAAAAAAATATCCCCTGGTGAGGATTTTAAAAAAATCATTTGGGAAGACTAGAAAAAAATATATAGAGCTCTGGCTGGTGTCCCTCAGTGGTTAGAGTGTCGGCCCATGGGCCAAAGGGTCACAGGTTTGATTCCTGGTCAAGGGTAAGTACCTGGGTTGCTCATGTGATCCCTTGCCCAGTTAAGGCAAGTGAGGGAGACAACCCATTGATGTGTCTCTCTCACTTCAATGTTTCTCTCTCTCTCTCCTCCCCTCCCTCCCGCTCTCTCTAAAAATCAATGGGAAAAATATCCTTGGGTGAGAATTAACAAAAAATTTATACATATATATATTCCAGGCCTCCCCCAAGCCAATTTAGAACCTTTGAGAGTGGGCTAAGGCATTGTATAGAGTTCAAGCTGCCCAGGTTTTTCTAATGTGCAACCAAAGTTGAGAAAACACTGCACCAGAGGCTACTCCTGATTGTACTTTCAGAGAGGTGGGGGAGCAACAGGTGTCTGTTCTTCCAGGAGCTGCAGCTGGTGGTAAGGGGTTCGTTCATTGCTGTGTTACCCTGAAGGCTGGAAAGGCCTTGAAAATGTTGACCTACTGGCTGCAGCAGCAATGACAGAGGTTAGGAAAATCTCTAGTAACAGCATCTCCAGCAACAGTGTAATAGAGCAAAAAAGAGAATTACTGAGGCTGGGCCAATTAAGTTAATGACTCCCTCATTAGGGAAGTGAATATAAGGCATTGCCTACTTGTACACCTAGGACATCTTGGAACTTCAAGAAAAATCACTTTGGCCCAGGCGGGCGTGGCTCAGCAGTAGAGCATCGACCTAGGATCCAGGTGATCGGGGTTCAATTCCAGGTCAGGGCACATGCCCGGGTTGCGGGCTTGATCAATGACTCTCTTATCATTGATGTTTCTATCTCCCTCTCCTTTACTCTCTGAAATCAATAAAGATTTTTTTTAAAAAAGAAAAATCACTTTGCAACATCAGCCACAGTTGGAAGTTGGCCCCTAGGAGTTGAGAAATGTATCAAATAAGTGACTACCACAGGATTCTTGGAAGAGATTTTTTTGATGGAAGGCTGAAAACTTGGGGGAAGAAAGTGAAAGGATATTTCCTGCAGCCACAATTGCATTCTTCCAAATTTTACTGTATGCTCATTGTGCCTAAATCATGTGACTCAAAAAAGGAGACTGATTTTGTATGGTTCAGAATCCCCAAATCACCCTGTTATATATGTGGCTTTTGCTCAAAATGTTACCAGATGGGCCCTGGCTGGGTGGCTCGGTTAGAGCATCATCCTGATAAATCAAGGTTTTGGGTTTGATTCCCCAGTGAGGGCACATGAAAGAATCAACCGATGAATGCATAACTAGGTGGCACAACAAATCGATGTTTCTCACTCTCAAATTTTTTAAAAAGTTACTAGACAGGGTCTGGGGCCAGGGCCTGGAGTCCACTGGTATGTGTGGGTTCTTGCCTTCATATAGGAAAGATTTCACAACATGAGTCCAGGTGATATTGATAGTATGTTTATTAAAGCTGGGGACAGTGAAACAATGGAAGGGCTTAAGGTAGAAGTAATAGGAGAGAAAAGGGGGTCTTGGAGACAGGTTCAGGGGGTAAGCCTGGGACCAGCTGCTGCTGTCCATTGCTCCCCTGGTTGCAAGTCTTACAGAGCCCTTTAGAGTTTATTTTCTTTTTTAAAAAATATATCTTTATTGATTTCAGAGAGAGGAAAGGAGAGAGGGAGAGAGAGATAGAAACATCAATGATGAGAGAGTCACCATTGATTGGTTGCATTCTGCACGCCCCTGACTGAGGATGGAGCCTGCAACCCAAGCATGTGCCCTGACCAGGAATCGAAACCACAATCTCCTGGATTCTAGGTCGATGCTCAACTGCTGAGCCCCACCCCGCCGGGCTCTTTAGAGTTTCGGAGAAAGAGCAGAGATACAAGGCGTGGGCATGCTCTACATAGAGCGCAAGCGCTGGGTCCAATGGCTTTAATGCTTTTTATTCTTCTTTACTTGCTGGGAATCCTAGGGGAGGTCTCAGGAGAGGGTCTCAACAGAATATGCGTTAGCTTTTCAAGTGTGTCCTTCAGTATGTTGATTTATCAAAATGTGTGTAGAGAGGGGCCAGGGTTATTTTCTGGTTAGGTCTATTTTTAAAGAATATTATCGAAGAAGGACTGGGGACAAGGCCAGTCTGCCCTAGGATGGTCTGGAATGTGTAAACCATTTGCTCCTAAGAGTCCTTAGGGAAGATAAAATCCTGTGATATATTAGCTGGCTGTAAATAGGTCAAAATTGTTTGGCCTTGTTTAATTTTATCTCAGTTTCCCTTATTCCCCTTGTCAAGGAATTTCCCTAGCTCCTGACTATCGTGTCTGAAAAAGATGCCAACATACATCGCCATAAACCACTTGCATTTATAAATGAGGGGGTACAGAAGGTCCAGCTAGGTGGGACTTGGGGAAATATACAAGTTGATGAATTAAGGGCCAAGAGCCAATGACTAGGGAAGATTTCTGAGAGCGAAGACTGTGGGAGAATAGGGCCTGGCTGCTGCCACCCACCCCAACTGGTTTCCTTCCAACGCTACCTTACCTAGTGCTGTTCAGAGCCACCCAACACCTCCACTGTTGGCCAACTCCTAGGTTCATGACAGACATGAAAAAGGAGGGCGGGAGACAAGTCGTTTAGTGAGTAGAGTTTCAGTTCGCAAGGTGAATAAGTTCTGGAGGTCAGTTACACAACAATGCGAACATACTTAACCCTACTGAAGCGTGTGCACTTCTAAAAAGAGGAGAATGGCCCAGCCGGTTTGGCCCAGGGGTTAGAGCGCCCTCTGGTGGACTGAAGGGCAGGTATCTGGTGCAGGCTCCATCCCCTGCGGGAGGCAAACGGATGTTTCTCTCCCTCCCTCTCACTCTCTCTGAAAAGCAATGGAAAAAATATTCTCTAGTGAGGCTTAAAAAAGATTAAAAAGGCTAGAATGGTTTATAAAGATATCAAGTTATGTATTTTAAATATGTGCAGTTTATTATAGTCAATTATACCAAAAAAGTTTAAAAAAAAGATATGAAGCTAACGTGCCTGACAGGTCTGTGGGGCTCCAGTGGGGTCGAGAGTTCAGATCTTGCTAGCTCACCGTGACGGACAGTCCCGGGGAGTGACCACCCCCAGGCTGCGCGCGGCCAGGGCCCGGAAGGGGGCCAGGCGCCAGGACCCTACCAGAAGGCACCGGGAGGCCGGGGGGCCTCGAGGAGAGCGCTCGGCTGCGCGCGCAGGCGGCCGGCGCCGGGGGCTTTCTCCCGCCTGACCGGCCAGCTCACCTGTTTTTTGTTTTTCAAAATTCACAAACTATCTCCCCATATTTGCCCCGGAAAGTGTGAAACATTCACTGATGGCCTCTCTTTCTCACTTAGTTTTATTCTTGTTTGGACGAACAGTGGGGAAATGTTGCGGGTCGAACCAGGCATTTAAGAAGACAGCTACGCCGTTAGGCCCCAGCCCCACGCCGGCATAAATAGGTCGGCCCC